TTTTTGTGTAATTCGAAGTGGCTGTTACATGCCAGGAAATACATCAATGACTACAAAGTCTTGTGGAAATGCATCAGCGCATATGATAGTTTCCGAGCATCGTACGATTGCACCTTGGCTGGTTTAGTGCCCATGTACGTGGAAGCACTGCCGTGTTCCTTTGTGCGTATGTTTTCACTAAGCATGCGCATGTGGGCGCTGAGTCTTGGCCAGAGCATCGCTGCTTTTGGCCTATATCCCAAGTTTCAACTAATTTTACAAACCTCTGTGTGGACACAGCTTGTCTTTTTGGCCATGTTGTTTAACTACTGAGGCTCCGTGATTTCCTATTCTACAATAGAAATAATCTTCGGCACATTGGGACGATGTAGGACGAAGACCTGCTTGGCCGTTTGAAGATTCTGGCTTAGCATTGTTTTGTGTATGCAGGGGTGGCCAATGTTTTCTGCAAAAAAAATGTCCTTGATGTAAGGAAACTTGCTGGGCACTCGCACCCAACCACCATGAGTGTCCGAACGTTAGAACATTGCGTTGTTTTTGCAGCCCTGAGTTGGCTGGGCCGAGATGCGATCTTGACTGGGTGAACAAAAAAATGTTGGCGTTCCATGCGCCTTCTGGAAATCGTTGGCAATGTTTTTTGCGCTGCCAGTGGGTGGCAGGGTTAAAGGGTTTGCTGTTGTTGCGTTAGCTGTGCAAACGACACCTGTCAAAAAAAACATGCCCCAGGGATGTTTATAGAGACACTTCCTTGTGCGTATACACAAACACCCAGTGACATAATTACAAACCTGTACATATATGTTCTACAGTTATAAACGCACCTAGCCACAAATATGCACTAAGATATGCACCAACACAAGAAAATGTAATAGCAAAGCTTTCATAAACTATAAATCATGTATCTTCCTTTTACTTTTTTGGCTCGTGACTGACATGTCAGATTTCATGGCAGGCTGCAGCTTATCAGAAAGCATGGTTAACTCCAGGCTGAGCTATTTTAACAGCTTGAACCATGACAATGCCGTCCAGGAAGAATGATCTATATGTCCTCAGGACATATAGCTCAGCCTATAAGTCTTTAAAAGCCTGTGCTGGTATTCCAGAGAACTCTTCGAAGTCTTCATCTGTGGGCGCTTTCGGAATCTCCAGCTCCTCCAAGTCAGACTGACTTGGCCTTGGGATCCTCTGCTTGTCCTCAATCTTGAAACCGAAGGCTTCAGGGTCGTTGCCTTCCACAGCCACGAAAGTGAGCACCTTGCTTTGCTCATGCCCTCGCGCACCGGACGAATCGCATCCTCGCCTGCATTTCGCACACTCGACACGCACGATCTCCGCAGAGGGTTGCGCGCGGACCGGACGCCCGGCGCTCTCGCCTGCATTTCGCGCACTCGACATGCACGATCTCCGCAGAGGGTTGCGCGCGCAGGTTGCAAATCGCACTCTCGCCTGCATTTCGCGCACTCGACACGCACGATCTCCGCAGAGGGTTGCGCAGTTCCTCGATCTCTTCCTCTTGGTCCTGGAGCCCCATCCACGCTCTACCAAAGTAGACCTGCTCATCTTTGAACTCTGGTTTCTAAGCTCTGGAATGAACTGCGGGTTCTGATAGCTATTGCTGAGGTGAAGACCCATCCAAAAACCTTCTTTCTTCTGCCAGCCGAAACCACTATCAGCTGCTTTCTTCAACTCTTCACTGAGCTGAACCGTCAACGTGCGAACCGTGTCGGCTTGTCTTATGAGATTTTTCACCAGCCAGAGATTGGAAATCCAATGAATCAATTGTTTGCTGTTTTTTTGTTGTTTTTTTGCTGTTTGCATTTGCTGTTTTTTTGCTATCGTTATTTTGTTGCTATTTTTTTGGCATTTTGCATTTGCATTTTTTTGGTGTTTTTTGGGTATTGTGGATTTGCTGCCTGACGCCTTTGCTGAGGAAAAGTGTTGTATTGTTATTGAGTTGTGGCTTTGGTGGGTGATTTCAACAGTACGTCCTTTGTGTTTGTTGCTAGTTGCCTTAAAGCGCGTTTGCATCCATGTGGTTTGTTCTTTATCTTTGCTCTTCAGTGTAAAGAACATCTGGGAAGGCAACTCTCATTTCGGAGACATTGGGACAGGCTGCCGCCCGGTCATCCCAGACAACCGAAACAACAGGACCTGCATTGGTTGGAAGGATTAGATTAGACAAAAGGAGGGATGGCCAAAACAACGCTTGGTGGAATTGGGGTTCCCTTTGGGAATGGCATGGGGGATGGCAAATTGGAATGGCAAAAAAATGGCAAAAAAATGATAAAAACTGGCAAATCCTCGAGTTTTTGCCATTTTTTTGCTATTCCGGGCAAGCTCCTGCTCCGGCGAAGAAAGTCCCTCCAGCATGAATCGGCGGTCATCTCGACCTCTCAAGGGGCGTGGACCGGGAGCTCGGTGCCTCAACCGCGACACCGTGCGACACGGCGGCCCTCCCAACACAGCCACCACCAAGCCTCGTCGAGCTAGATGACATAGGTAACCCCAAGTTCCAATGCCATGGAGGTCGAACTGTGCGCCCATCGTCACGTCCACATTCAAAATCTCGAAGCCACCCCAGTCCGTCTTAGACCAACTCTTATAGTCCTTCCCGGCAAAGAGGTTGACAATCACACCACGAGACGCCAGGTGTCGTCGCCGCTGACGTCGATTCCAGGGGCAAGTGCAGGCATCAAAGCTGTCCTGGCCCTTCATGAACTCCCACACCTCCGCAGGGACCTCAGGGAATCTTGATGACCACCATGATCGTATTTCATCATCAGTGAAGATCTCCCCCCGATCTGCCTTCTCCATGGTGCTGAGCAATTCCAGCGCCTTGGCCTCAGGTAGAACCGGACATCCCCCACGAAGCGCGCAGTCAATCCTGCCATGATCAGGGTGATTGATCTTCACTCCAGCCGCCGTCCACTGAAGCCGATACCCCAAGCCCACCAGTCGATGGAGCGGGACAATGACCTCCACGTGGTCCTTGGACAGCAAGGTCTTATGGTCATCCACCCTGAACAACGTCGTTGGCCCTGAGGCCAACTCCACCCTTACCGGGTACATCTTTTCCAGCTCCTGCTCATGTGCTCGACGAAGACCATTAGTCGCCCCTCCATCCAGCAATCCAACAGGTGCCAAACCATCAGTGCCAACCGGCTTCAATTCCTTCACACGAAGCACCTTCATGCTCCGGAGTGTCTTGAGCAAAGACGTTGCTACCGATAACAACTCTGCCGTAGTTTCCCGACCCAGTGGCTTCTCAGGTGTTCCTGCCATTCTCGAAGTGGTCGTGGTAGGAGGCGACGATGACCCCGGAGACGGCTCTTCACCTGTGGGCTGCTCCTTGGCGATCTTCTCGACGATCTCCCCCTTCTCTCCTTCCTTCGCGGCCTTCACCTTTGAGACCTTCTTTGGATCAGTCTTTCCAGTCTTGGGTTGGTGAGGACATTCACGCTTCATGTGGTTCCCACCGCAACCAAAGCACCGGTTCTTCATATCCGAGGTGTCGTGGGCATAGGTGCAAGATGTTCCCCTCCTGCAGCCTTCCTCCGACTTCCAGAACTTGCAAGCAAGCCTTCCTCCTGCTCGCTCTTCATTCTCAGCCGCTCCAAACGACGATGCCATAGCCTTCAGTGACGTCGAGGCCGCTTGATTGGACGAGGCCGCCGGCTGAGCCAGTGGTGCACCACCCTTCTGAGCTGCAGTGAGGGACATTTCCTCGATCTCCGCCTGCACATACTCAGCTAGCTCAGTGACTCCTTCCAACGAAGCTGCATAGTCAACTCGGAGTTCTTGACGAACATTTGAAATCCTGAATGACACCTGAGTGCCGCCTGCTTTTTGGGTGCTGTCGATCATGCGCTGCAGGGCGTGCATGAGGACCAGAGGGTCCGGAAGGTTGAGGTGAAGTTCTTGTGCACGAGATAGCCAACGTCGCCACAACCGGACCTGCATCAACAATTCTCCCACCGATGTGGAGAACTTCGACTCCACTAAATTCTTGAGGAGTTGCGTTTTTTCCGCGCCGCCTCCCGGCTGGTACGCCACATGGAGCCGGTACAAGATGTGCACCACGGACAGCTGCCTGCCAGACACCAAGTCCCGACGAAGCTGATCAGGTAGTGCTCCAAGTAGCATAGCAATTCCACGCTGTTCGATCCGTTGAAATGCTGGATCCACTTCAACTTGAGGTTTCGATCTCAGCCTCTCCAGCGGACTCAGTCGCAACCACCGCGAGTAGTGCTCCTGTGCCACCATCAAGGACTCTTCCCACCAGGCCTTCGCCGAGTTGGAGATGTCAGTCATCAGCGGGAATGCCATAGTCAGCCAGTCGCCGAAGAGAATCGAAGCTCCTTCTCCATTGGGTGCTGGAAGTGAGGGAAGCTCCAAATTTCGCAGAGCCTCGGTCGTCGATGCCACGGGAATTCCAGCCCCAATCCTGGTCACCTTTCCTGCTCCACCACCAAACCCTGAAGACAATGTCCCGGTTGTAGTCTCATGTAATCCAGGGGGTCGATCAGGTAGTGACTCACCAACACCATCACCAGAGTTCCCACCTTGACCATCAGTGGAACCACGAAGTTTCGCCCGCTCGCCCACACTATTCGCCGATTCAAACGTCGACGAACCTCCACCACCTGTCAGCTTCTTGACCTCCTTCTCAAAGTTCAAGTGGGCTTCACGAAGGATGCGCTCCCGAATGGCTTCCAGCTCCTGAGACGTCGGGCTTCTCTTCACCTCTTCACTAGGGGGTTGAGGACGTTCAGAACGGGATGCCACATCAGGTGCACGTCCACGGTCACTCCAAAAAGGATTGGTCTGCTGCCGCCCATGTTGATGGGGTGTGGACATGTCGTAGGGCTCAAGTACTCTAGGTTGTGGACCACCTTCACCATTCATGCTGCTCCTGTCCGCTCTCGGCGGAATTGGAAACTGAGGCGATGACGCTGCCTCCCGCTGCCAAGCC